CCGGGCAAAGTTAGGCTGAGGGTAGTGAGAGCGACAGCTGATGTCAGGGTGTGTGCTCTGTGCTGCTCTGGCGAAATACAGCTGGTCTGTTGCCAAGCAAAAAAGAATACACAGGCTCACAACAGTTCCTCTCTGCAGGAACCTCCGCAATCCATCCCACTTAAAAGGTAAGCGCAGTGAAGAGAGTCCCAGCATGCCTCGTTCCCCCTGCCATAGTCTGGGCTTTTCCTCGTCACATAAATGTAGACACAGACTCGAACACATGCAAACACCGAGGCGGGTTTCAAACTCAGGTTTGATGAATTGCTCTGCAGTGAAAGCCAAGCCGTCGTGTATGAAATATCAATCACAATCTTCATTTATGGAAATGCCTTGTGATGATTTACAATTGAGCAACGCTGCCATCTCATGAGATGGCCGATCATAAGATGGACTTGTCCTAATGTTAGTAGTTTAGTGATCATAGGCGTGCTTTATCATAAACCCTCGACCTGCAAACTGACAAGGGCGAGAGGAAATGGAGCCTATAGGCACCAGATGCTTCCTCCCCACACGTCTTTATTAGTCGCATCACAGGAGCAGAGTCTGGCCCTCAGTGAGGAGAACCAAGGCTCAGCACATCAAACTCTCATTAGATAAGATGAAACTTTAATGATCCCATGATTGCCATGGGGACACTGGGCTGGCGGAGCAGCAAACAAACATGAGAAAACGCATGAGCTAAATACAAATGGTCTTGGAGCAAAAGAGGACAGTAGTAGCAACTAAGTATCTGTTAAATAGAAACGTATAAGACAAAATGTCATGTGGCAAAAAAGTTTATAGCATTAAGACTTACAGAAAAGGTAGTATTAAGATTAGATTGTACAGGCAGATCAGGTACTGTAGCGCCAACAACGCTCTTCTTGAGCTGTTTGGAGAGAAACAACTATACAATCCTGTCGGCTGTTGGCTCTAAAGTGCATATAAAACGGTCCAAGTTGCACCTCAGGGGGGTGAGGGGGAGGCTGAACAAAAGTACAACAGCCTTGTTTGGAGGTGTATTTTTGTAGTCCTCATTTATACCTCACTATGACACAGGGATATAATGTGTAGTTTGGTGCTTGGGTTGAAACACTCGGCTTGTACAGTGCGCCTCTGTATCGTTGGTTCGGACCAGTTTGCAGCTGATGTGTGCTTTAGCCACTCCATGTACATTGAAGACTGAACCGTCTGCCTCCTTGCTGCTCTATGACAGATGCCAGTTATCGCTCCATCTCAAGTTCACTAACAGCTCCTCCTCTTACTGACGCAGAGCTGCAGACAGTTCGCCTGAAGATGAAGCGGTCTTCTAAACACCTGTCAATGCTCTCTTGTGTAAAGTAACGCAAACTATAGTTGCGACCCTTAGCTACATTATATCCACATAAAAATATCACTTTTTCAGCAAGCAAATCACTTTAACTGGTCAGTCACATGACGGCTAATAGTGCATAATATAAGTTATTGTTAAAGACTTAGCTGACATTACCTACTGCCTTATTTACCAGCTCACAAAGACTAAAACTAGTTGCCCAATCATTTATTCATTTTTTTTAAGTTTCAAAATTTCCCCTAAAGGCCAACTTAAAATCTTAAAATCAGTTTTTAGTTTCTGACAAACAGTCCAAAACCCAAAGATATTCTGTTTATGATCATACTTTTATGATCAACTATTCCTTTCAGCTCTCATAAAAAAATAGCTATTTGGAATGAGACATTTTTAAATCCCCAGCCCGACAACAGACCATGTCAGCTATTTCTAATTTTCGAATAAAGCCGTGTTTTCAGAGAGCCGTTGTGCCATTCAATGTTTGAATAGAGATTGGTGCCACAAATGCAAAGCCTCAATACTCCTCCCCACGCATCCCAAATAACAGAGGCATCATATAAGAACTCCTGGAGGTGGCATGACGCAGAGTAGAAAACTAGACCGTTAGATAACCATACAGCAGTGAAGCAGCACAGCACAGAACTCTAAGTATTCAACAAGACCAAAAGAAAGGGAACATAGAGCAGACGTGTATGCCAACAAGCCTTGCAACATGAAAGTGCTTTCCTCCACCGGTTGTGCTTCCGTTCCCGTCATGCATATGCATTAGCATTGTCCTGAGTGAGTCTTTCCCTGAGTAGGAAAACCCCTTCAATTAGAATGTGTGAAGTCTCGAGACTGCACTGTGAAAAGAGAGTGAAATAATGAAGCTCATCCAGACGGCCTGATAACTGGTGTTTGCAGAGCGCCGTAGTGTAGGGAAAATCAATAACAAATGTGTTTGATATGTGGTTTAAAAATGGCACTGGAGCACTCTGAAACACCCGCCAGAGAAATGGTGCCATAAATGTTGCCATTACCAGCAGTGTTAAAAAAAGAAAATCAATGTGGGTTTGGTGGGTTTATTTCATTTGATGTTGCTTTTTTAGTCCACCCGGTAGACGGCACCAAAACTATAAAACAGCTGCATTGTTGTTATCTCTAATATGATTTCCCTGTCTTGTTTTAGAACGATAAAAAGGTAAAAAGTTGATTATACCCGGTTATCATCAGACTACTGTCTTTAAACAGTCCAGAAGTCTCAAAAAGTTGCACTGCACAATTTCTCTTTGCTGCATCCACTTATCTCACTCCTTCCTCCAGCATGATGTATATGACCCATGACCTCTCCCTTATAATCCTGACGGAGAAGAGGGCCATTTAAAAGAATTAGGACACAGCTGTGTGCCATGCAATGCAACACCCCCTCTCAAACCCTTCTGACACCCTCACACCCCCCGTTTCCACTTCCTCCTGTGTCTCTCTCTCTCTCAAAGTTTCAACCTCCATTTCCTTGCCTCTGATTCCAGGTTCCCAGTACTGCCAGAGAAAGCCCACCGCCCCTCAACGCCAACTATACATCCTGTTTCTGACACATGCCAACTTAGCCGGCCGCGCTAGTCAGCTGAACAGAGATCCAGTTTCCCCCTTCTTAATACTCCTAACAAGCCTTTTCCCTCTGCAGCCAAGTGTCAAGCCAACCAAAGTCACCTAATGGGACGGCTCTGCCTTTCTATACGCACAGCAACACAGCAGCACAGGGGAGGGAGTGCACACTGAAACGTGCTTTCATTTTATCCCAGTTTCTCCTCTTTTGCAAGAGATGAGACGCAACCAGATACCCACCAGCAATCACAAGATGGATACCTCATTATAATTGCATGGTTTACTTCCATCACTTTCCTAGCAAGACGGTTAGAAGTATATGCAGGATGGCATACGGTTGGGTGCCATCTCTAATACATGGGATTCATGAGCGTGACAAACTGACATGAGGCCGACAGCCAAGTAATAACCCAAATAGCATAACAGGCAGAGTTATCTCTCAATGTAAATCGGAGCTGTTTAGACGGGACAATTTGTTGTATCCCAGAGGGCCTATTTTAAATCTGATATCATGTAAATGTCAACTTGTGTTTTTCAATATGCAGCCAAGAGCCGGGCTGGACAATCTGTGTATGTTCACGTCCTATCCAAAATCTAGTTCCATCACAGCTTAATTGAACATAATCTGTAATGGGATTATTTTTTTTTGTGCACATTGGTAAGTGTGGGGCTGGGAGATATGAACGAAATGAAGTATCACTATTATTTAGAATATCTCTCAGATAATCCATTTACATAATTCATAAATGTATGCAATATCACATTTGAAACGATCAAATTGGTGTTCAGTGGCTTTAAGCAGAGCAATGGAGGCTATTTTCTGCTGTTTTTGTCAGTTAAGGAGGATGACTCTATGCCCTGTCTTCCACCTGTCATAATACCAAACAGACACGGGCAGAAAAGGGCCAAGGCCACCGAAAAGGACATGGGAGACGAGCAGCAGGAGGGGCACGGCTCAAAAGGATGAGGGAGCTCACCGTTGCTCCCTCCTTCTTCCAGCCATCATTGTCACTCCTTCCTCTTTTCAACCCCTTTGTGCTTAATGCTGATGATAGACTCACTTGCCATTACCTAATTTATTTATTTCTTTTGTATAAAACATTCTCATTCCAAGTGAGAAAAAGAACAGACCATGTTTCGCACACTCTAAGCAACATTTCCCTCTGTTCAGTCAACATTACTCTCTGTTCAGCCAGGGGACCACTTGCACTATACACAAGTGCGTGAGTCATGTATGAAGCAGGCTTTAATACACACGTGAATCAGCCATGATTCATCGCTGAAGCAGGCCACCCCGAGCAAAGTAATGGCCAGTCACCCTTTTTCCTCCCATTTCGACATCAGTCCTGCAGACGGGTTACTTTCATCATCCCGCAAAGGTATTCAATGTGCAGCAAAAACACATTGCAGCAACCACTGACTGTACAAATTAAAAAGGTTAATAACAGACAGCGACGAGAAGAAATGATGTTTCCATGGACTATATTTTGCAGAGTTGTTGCATGCTATGAAAGAGACAGCCTTGATGTCGTTGGGTCTGCATTTAAAGTCCCAATGGACTTCATCAGGTCTCACTGGTGGAATGTTACCCTGGTACATGAAACTAGTGGGAATGTTACCCTGGTAAAAACGTCTATTTTCACCCTAGAAATCAAGAGCTGGTGTGTCATGAGGATGGGCTACTATGATGCACGTTGAAGCAAAGCAAAATAAAATGAAGGAGCTGCTCTCCTCTCATCCCACCCGCATCTGTCATGCAACACCACCCCCTTCATTCAAGAGTGGGAGTTGGTAAACACAGCCAACGGATAACAACAATCGTATTCAAGGGATGCACTCATTATAAAAAGGCAGTGCTGCAGTTGGCACTGGATATCCGTTTGGTGGGTGCAGATTAGGAGGAAGCCATCGAAGTGGCATGTCATTTTCACAATGCAGGCCGTTACAGAGCAAGAAGTCAGGCCAGTGTCACATTTTTTTTTTTAAAGCACACTATGTGCATCAGTGGTTTTGTGTGAGGCGTTCAAAGAGATTTCCACATCTACAAACTGACAGTGGGCCATACCTTGTGTTTGACGTTGCAGTGGCAGCAAACGGTATACATATATTTGAGTGTCCTCCACAGCAGGATGATGAAGAGACCCCCAAAAAACGTCACCATGGAGGAGGCGAGGAATGCCCACCACATGCGCTGTCCATTATTGTCGCAGGGCACCTCGGACGAGAACGGGATGACAACGTCTTCCATCTTGGATATTAAGATTGAAGAGCCCGGATTTCGATTATTATTGATATTGCTTGACCTCATAGAGCTGTCGCTTCCATGTGGAACGGTGCCACCTGCCTCAGCTAGCATTTAGGAGCCTTGGAGAGCCTGTGCCTGCGTCCCCAGCCCCACGAACCAGCCATATTGCTCGAGACAAACCAAAAAAAAAAAAAAAAAAAAAAAAACCTTTTCCCTGTAAATTGTGCTCACCCACCCGATGTAGTCTCTTACTATAGTTTAGCAGCCTATGAATCGTTTATACGTGACAGCGTGAGGCACCGCACACGCGAACCTGACCAAAATAGCGGGTCGGTGTCCCTTGGACAGAGGCATTTAAATCCGCAATATTGACGAATCTTAACCGCGTCTCAGTCCGAGGGGTTTTCAGGCTCTCTCACGCCAAAAGCCATGGTGAAGACGGCGTCGTTTGCAGCCGTCGACGCTGCCAATGATACGTCGAGTTGTAGTAAACACAACCAGTGAGAAATGTTCGCAGCCTGTTCTCGGCGAGGCGACTTCTCTAGCCGTCTTCCATGCACGGGATTCTGTCAATAAGCAGGCGGTGAATTCGATCGATCGATTTCACTTTCTTTACGCGTCAATCGACTGTGAACGAGTGGCAACAAAAAGAAAAAACCGTTAAAAAGATCATTTAATTCTACAATTGGTTGACTGTCTGTACAGCGGCGAAGACTACATACTCTTGCGGGCGTTTTCGTTGTCAATTCTGCGTAAAAAGGACGAGCGCTCGGGTGGATGTCACTGTCTCCATTCGATCCCCCGCAGCCCTGGCACGGAGCGGCCAGCTGAGAGAGAGCGCCTGTCAGATGCGCTCCAGAGGAGAGCGGGCAGATTTACAGGTAGGAGGGCGGAGCGACGCGCTTATAATAGGTAAAGATAGACAGAGGGCAGTGATACTGCGACGATGTTTATTCCAAATGCCGACCGGTCTGCGCAGACCTCGGTCTACAATTGCGCCTCTGCGTCTTTGATGCGCGCCAATGAGTGACGCACGTCGCAAAAAAAAACAAAAAAAAAACGAGGAGGCTGTGGAAAGCAAGCTATATCTATCAGTGATGCATTTAAGGATTATAGCAGCCTATATAAACATCACATGAAATGATGAGTCGCCATAGGAAATGTCGTGATGACGGTGTGGATATAAAACGACAATATAAAGTGAGGTTACTCATTGACTCCAACACTGTCACGCTGTAAGGATCCTATTGCACTGACTTTTCATTAAGGGTAGTGCTCCCCTTGTTCAATTACCGAGTCTGTGGCTTGTCATGGTGAAAATGGACTTCAATAAATACCCACACATGCACACACACACACACACACACAGGGTGCTTGTCATGAATGTCCTTTTCCGGTCAATTACAGTAATATCCTTACACTTTTAGCTCACATATTAGGTCAAAAACAGGTGTGAATTGGTGAAGCATGACTCAAGTAGTCAGCCAGACCAAAGGATATGGGGAAACAGCTGGCACGGGGCCCTGAATAACCACTGAACCATGTGCGCCAGACCAGGCAGGTGCACACCACACAGCCACCTGTGTCACAAGGCCCCAGAGTTCTTGGAGATTGTTTGCAATAAACCCTCAATAATCTGTCCACAAGGCTCTAGGGTCTAAATGTATCACCAATATCAGCAACTATTTAAGTATACTTATAAGTTACCAAATAAATGTCCTATGAATGTGGAATTATTATTACTTCTCAAGCACAGATCATTTGGAAAGTAAACATGCCGAAGTAAGGTGTGGCGAAGACGTGTGATTAATGTTCTGTGATGGTAATTTATTGTCTGGGAAATAGTAGCGCTTCTACAGAAATAGCTTCTGTAACAGAATCCTTTAACCTGGGAGGGAGGGAACTGTAAAAGACCAAAGACAAGGAAATCTGTAAATTATAGCACAACGTCAGAGTTATGAGTGCCTATGCAAGCATTTTGACTTCAACAGGTCAACACTGCTTTTTACCAAATAAAAATAAACTCAGATGCAACAAGTTTTGAATGTTTGTAACATGATCTTTGTTCCATAATTTCATCCACATCATTTGCATCCAGTTTGCTTCAGAATGGCTCTGCAGCCAAACACCAACATTAAAATCTGAAAGTGTAATCTTAGGTTTTACCTTTAGAATAACTATTAGAATGGGCCCATGTAGAGCAGCTCTGAAGATGTCCTCCTGCTGGTAAAATGGTGAACTGGTCACATTAAGCACAAACAATGCTGCTCTACAGCAGTGTCATGGAGCACCTATACCTCCATTTGTATTCTTTCAAGCGCTGCAACATTTTAATGAGAAAATTACGTTCATGCTAGAACCAAGGTGATACTAGTCAGGAATTATTAAAGAAGATAGTTCCAATGCCTCATGAGTGTTTTACTAATGCTGATCTTTATTCAATGAATCCTGTTATTTTCAGGGAACAAGTGAGGTGTAAATCACATGTTAATTTACAAATATATTGGCACGTCATTCATGCTGTAAACAACAGGGAATCTTACTCCATACTCTGTGAACAAGCCTATTGAGATCCAACCTCCTATAGGCAACAATACGCTATAGAGAGGACACAGAAAGTGAGCATCAGCAACACATGCTACATACGTCGTGTGTCATAATAAATCTTGCTGGCGTTTATTGCTGGCAGCAGAAGCAGGGACTTAAATTGATCATCCCCCATGAAAGGCCAGCTGGTGGGCGAGCGGTTCCTGTGGGCCAGCAGAACTTTAACCGGAGGGTTTCAGTGCTGACAGATGAGGAGATTAACACGAGAGCATGTCAGGTGGTAATCCCACAGGACATTTTGAGATGCTGATGAGGTAATGTGCTGGAGAACCAGCAGAAGGCTGAACCGGACAAACTCATCCCATCATGCACTCAGAGATGGGAAAGGCCACGGCTTGCCAGTGTGGACTACAAAGATCCCTTGCTGTCAGACGGGAGACTTCTCAAGTTCAGTTGAGCTGTCAGCAGCTGTCTTGAAACAGACACCTCACCAGGAGAGCTGGAGACCCTAGCCCTTTCTAAAACAGGGAAGAGGGTACTTGGAGGACATTAAGAATAGGAGCACGATACAGCAGACCTGAACTTAAAGTATAGTGAAGAAATGAGTCACCCAAACCTTGAGCGACATTCTCTGGAGAGCATTGACAAGCTTGAACAATTAGGCCTGGGTAGCAGGGAGTTTGAGGCATTGATGGATGTTTTTGGAGACACTGGGTGCTCTCTTGCCCCAATGAACCCGACAGGCAGCTGGAGGGTACTCCTCCACTGTGCAAAGTGACATCATTGGCTGGAGGACCATGTGACCCCCCCTGATGCAGCACTCGGAGGAAACAACCTTTGGGCTAAAGGCGCCCAATCAACCAGCGAGATCTGGTGTAGCTACAGGCTGTCGAACTGCATGGAAAACAACTCTCGTAGAATATTGCAGAATTAGAAGTTTTTCTTGGAGTGTAGACCGAGTATGTGTTTATCATGTTCGTATAAGCCTGGGCACACGTTCATCAGCCTCAGAAGAGTTGCATTGAGAGTGTAAATTTAGGAGTAAAAAGCTTAGTGTAACTCTGAAGGGATCACATGACTAGTGACATGCAGAGAAGGAATAGCCAATAAAAGACTGATTCAAGGTAAATCTGCCATATTTTTCTTATGAAAATCCATATCTGATGCATTTGTTTTTCACCAAAAACATACATCATTTTTGAAAAAGGTTCTTCATATTTGTGTGAATTCCCTCATATTTCCAGTAGGAATGAAAATGTGTGCATTAGAAAAATTAACTGGAGCAGGAAAGTAATTCTGCTGCCGGTAGACGACATTCATCCGACAGATCATATAAGGATAATTAAGCAGCATATTGGTAGTTTTGAAAATAAAGTATTCATGGACAGTGATTGCAAACAAAATAAAGCTTTATTGGTGGCGTTTGTACCCCTAAAAAAAAAAAAAAAAAAAAAAAAAAAAAAAA